TGATGCGTCATTTGAGATGGATTGGTCACATTCTGCGTGTCAGCTTAGCGTTTACTCCATTGGGCCATTTTCGATCGTGCAAGATTCGACTGGAAGAGAGCACGCAATGATCAGCCGTCCACCTGTGGACAGCATATAAAACCGCGTACTGCTGCCGTTGATTCCATATACCTGCCTGGCTGGGGACCAAAGGACCATGAGTGCCTATGGATAGAAACGATTCAGAATATAATGAGCGATCAAAACCAGTATAAGCTCTGTGTACATGCTTGTTTAAATTCAGATGTTCAATGCTTAACAATTGCAAAGGCAAAAATCATGTGTAAAATAACAAAAAATCCTCCGTTTTTTGCAGCACAATAAATGAAGTTTGTTGCTCACCTTTGGCTAGTGTGCCATGATGATAATACGGCGATTCGACCTGTACTCTTCTGTTGATTTTTTCGCTCTGTCTATTCGTTAGACTGTTGATAATGGCTGGCGGTATCCGGTACAAAATTTGCGTGCCACTGCGGCCTCCATAGGAATAACCATAGGACGCCTGCGTATACAGAGGGACCATGGGTCGCTTGCGCCACGCCACGCGCAGTCCCATCTACACACCTTATATCCACCACAGTGCTACCACCGAGCTGTCCACGCACAATTTCAGAGCTCGTGATTTTTTGCGAATAAATCCTCACTATGTTGTCGCTCATCATCGACCCTACACTCATTCCACACGGATTTACCAGTCGTACAAAGTGGATTTTAAATTGTCGGATTATTCTTACCGCTTCAATATCTTATTCACTTTCCGTAATCTGGAGGCAGTTCTTACGAAAATTCACGCACGGAACTACTTCAATTTTAAGGTCCTGTTGGGTATTTTACTCTCACTCAAAGAGTTTTACCCAGGCTATATGAAAAGCCTAAATTCGTACTCATCCAGCAACGATTTCAGTCACTGCATCATATTTTGCAGCCTCTAGTTCAGTGCCGCTCTTCACCTATCTAACCTCGCAAAACACCCAGTTTTGCAGTTTGCCGCAATCTCCATGGATCGGGAACCAACATATTACCTGTTTCCGCTTTGTGTAACTGGCGTGCATCAGGTCTAGCGGCAGCCTGCCTATCCATTTCAGAAAACCACTCGACCTTTTGACCTAGACAGATCTAGAAACAGGACACTAAACGAAGTACAACGCATAGCGAAGCCTAGCAGGACTCAACGGAACCTCAGTTGTGGGTACGAAAAAAGCAACTCGAACTTATATTTTGTGTTCTGAATGCAGTAAATATTATCGCTTGCGCATGTCAGTACACCGACTCTTGCAGCGTGCGTTGTTTGCGCACCGAGAGTGTGGATGGAAGAGGAGATGCCAAGTGGTAACTGGTCAAGAGGGATGAAGTCCCCCATTTAGAAGATGACGTCGGCTGGTGTTTGCCGACTGCCGGGCTAGGGACTGAAGGACGATGAGCACTTTTGGTTGGATACACTAACCGACATGGCGAAGAGCCGACCTCAGTGGCGTTTGTGTTGTGAGTCTGCTTGCCTCTCCCCTTTCCCTCCAACAATGCCATCAAAGTCCATGCATAATGTGATATTTAGCATAATGTTACCTGCTCACAGCCTTCTTGGTCTGTATCGTTTAGTCTCTGAAATTTTTTATTGCGGCACATTAGCTGAGATGATCCTCACCTTCAGATAACCTGTATTGATGGATCATGATTATGAAACGTTACCACGCTACGTATGCTAGTTTAAGTGCAAGTGAAAAGAAAGCTAAGCTATACAACAAGCTCTTTTTGGTTCTGCATTGACAGCATTGTTGTCCCACTTGTTGAATGTATAGCTATTTTGGCACAGAAACGTGACAACTTAGCGGCGATAGTCCAGACTTAATAAATGTTCCCCTTCGGATCCAACGTCGACCGGGCTCGTAGCCCAAGACCGTACAGCTGAACACGGTGGCCGAACCAAGGGTACGGTTGAAACGGTGAAGGTAGATACACAGGTAACTCCAATGCGGAACCAGATTAAGGACCGAATTCCACTTACTACGGCAACCCCACCATAGCCCAAGCCATACTACGTAAGAACTTTGTGGAGCAAACTATACCGGTACACAGGATTACATGCGCTACCGCTACATACGCATTTCGTTGCCGATGCTCAAGAACCAACAGCATATCGAATGACTACACTTGAACCGATTACACACAGTGCCAGAAGTGCCACACACCACCAAGAAATCAGATCCCATTCCCACAAAAATCTGCTTGAGCGTAGCTGTGAGAATCCTCACAAAGTCCCCCTATTGCTCACTAATAAACAACCTCTCCCTTCGGGACATCATCTTTAAATGTTTATGGCATACTAAGTCTACTGGGTAATTTCTGGGTTTGTTTAGGGGAGTAGCGATATCGAAAGCACCTCGGGTCGCCGGGGAGATACGGATTGTTGAGGCGACAGATCATAAACAGACTAGGCATGATAAGTTGGTTTTAAATTAAACATTATAATGTGGCTCTTAGTTTTTATCCGTTATTTCCACTGATCCTCTTCATGGTGAATATTTTTTCTGTTCAGGTTTTCCGGGCGAAAGAGCGCATTGATGAGGAGATTCAGTTTAACAAGGATCAAAGAGATGTCCCTCCGAAACAGAAGGATTCCTGATTACTTTCTGATCGGTCTCACTTATATTGTACAGTATTTGCAGCCAGTGTAGATAAATCACCCAGTTGAATTCTGTTAGCGGCATTATGCATCGCTGTGATGTGCACCCCATATCCCGCTTCTTACTAAAAAAGACACTTATGCGCCTTCTGACTTCGTTGCGATAGTTTGAAGTCGGATGAATTACACCGTGTCGTTCACCCCTATTTTGACGTAACCTGTTGACAGGAGAAGCCATGGGTTGTGTGTCTTCATGGCGTCACACGGAACCAAAAATGCCAACAAGTAAGTATATGATGTGCTATTGCTGGAGTGACTGCCAGTTGGCTGAGATTCATCAAGCTAGTGTCGCGCTTTTAAGTTTAGCAATTCATAAAGCATTAAATGACCGTTTCGTCCTGCTGGGACTTGCCAGTGAAGCCCATCCATCGGCTCCTGTAGGAACCGTATCCGGCACCCCACTATATCGTCTAGTGTTTTTCACCATATGTGAAGAACCATAGAAGTGTTTCGAAGACAAATTCCCAGGTAAAAAGTTGAACCTAAGGTTAGTTGTGAGTATTTCGCTGTGACCGTTAGTTGATGGTTGCCACGTTTTACGGTTCGCTAATTCTTGTTGATACACGGCCCGATAATCTTATAACGCAAGGTAAACAGGTTAACCCAGTTTATCAACTACGACCCGTGGGCTGAGGTGCATTGGGTCCAATTGAGTCACGTGAACCGTTAAGTCGTCAGATTGAGTAGTTCAATCAGAAACGATGGATCAGTGCCACTGACTTCGTGGCCACGCCATATCCCATATGATGTGTAACTACTGATCCTGAAGATCTCTTCAACAAACGGGCTTTTGGCGAATTTCCTTATGTCCTCTAACTATGTCATTAGTGGGCCACTCCTCGGAGTCTCATCCAACCAATCAACTAAGACACACCGAAACACTTGATCGGACTAGAGAGGAACCCATTGTAGCATCAGTGTAAGTTGGTGGCCAAGCACCGGACGAGGAACTTCAGAAATACTCGCGCCGTTAAACCACCCGGTATGAGTAAAGCTTAGCATGCATAGGTGGTGAAACGCAGCCACTTTTTCAACATCTCTAGTTGTTATGACTGTTTCGCACAATAACACTGGTCGTACTGCAAAATTATAAACCATCCCCCTTAGCCAATAGGCTTATATCCCGCTATTTCCAAGAGTGATAAAAAAGTAATCAGCAGTACGCCGACACACCGTATCGGTGCTTCGCTGTCAAACGACCACAACTAATCGCGCGTGGGTTGAGTATGCTGTCAAGACGCTCGCCCTTACGCGGATTCGGACCGGTGACCTGAGGATTGCAAGCCAGGCGTGCAATCCATTCTTCATAACTTGCTTGCAAAAGTCATACGAGCCTTAACAATATGTGTGGTAACTTTAGGCGACCCGACTACGGGAAGGGATACAGGTACCCAAATAAGCAGACCGATCGATCATTTCGAGCGGCTGTCTACTGTAGTGTTCAGTTGACTCGCTTCTATAACGGTATTTTGCGATCTGAGCAGATGCCGAAACACATCGGATAATTCGGTAGTGTCCGATCCAAATAACTGCGTTGTCTGCGTTCTTTTGATTTGTCAGTCGATTCCCTAACGAAGCTTCCACTTTATAAGTAGTGGGAGAAGAGAGTCATCCATGATCATTTCGACGACAGAGCAGAAGAGAACTAAAGCGATCTTGAAGCACTCCACCACGGAATCGCGGTGCGAAGATTTTAGATGACAAATTTCGGGTTGGTCCTTCGAGACCAGAACTAGCCACAAAAAGCAAATGAAATCCAAAGCAACCATGAAGTACTTAGCACACTGCTTATACATGTGGCTATGTGTAAGCATCTAGAGTGGAGATATGGCGATTACATTTTCCAGAAGGAAGGAAGCCAGCTTAATTTTCGCGGGTATCAGTGATCCGCCTCTGCATGATGCATCTGATCAGTTTGGAAGGAGCTTGGATGAAACTGACAGCGAGATATTCTTCACACAACGCTGCATGGAGAGAACATCAAAGTTCAAGCGTACTTTAAACGTGATTTTATTGAGACATGCAGAAATAATCAGTTGGCCATCTGCGGAATTTATTGGGGGACAGTGCTTACTATCGTGTCAACATTCGCCTGTCATTGCGGATAAGTTGAGACCTCTAAATCTGTAGTATCCTGTAGTTGTTTCCAGTTTACAGCACTCGTGTCACGGGGATTATCTCCACACGTGGCCACTGAACGAGGTAATCGAGAAGTATCAAAATTTCCATACGGGTGGCGAAGATTTGCCCCAAAAAGTATCAACATATTATAACTTGAAAAAGCCGATTACGGATCCATATGAGTCACTTTGGCGCCATCTGGTATTGTCATGTTCAAGACCAAAAATATTGATACCATGATATATTACTGTGCGTTTTTGATACATTCAAAGAATGGTGGAAGGCTGGCATACCCAAAGAAGAGCTGGCCACACTCAGCGCTGCGAGCATAGCGGGATTTATTTTACTAGATGAGAACAATGAGGACACGAAAGGGTTATTCGATGGAGGGGCTCGAAGCGTCGTCAATCCGAGAGCTGTTGAGCTCAGCGCATTTAACTGATTTGCCTGGGAGAAGTTGAAGTTCAGACCAGCTGATGGGGGCCATATATTCGACAATAGATTCGATGCCAGAGGTATCTCTTGCTCCTTGGCTTTAGCCTGTAGGCTTAGTAGCTGCGATGAGGATGACGAACCAGCTTCCATAAATGGTCCGGTCACTGTCTGAACGAATCTCCCGCGGGAACCTGAGAAGTAGGATCGAAGACCCAATGAAAGTATTGATGCAGTCAACGGTTGAAACATGCTACAAATACAATGCATACGGAATGGAAACTATTCATGTTGGAGTTAAAGAGGTGACGGACGAGATATCCAAGGGAGGCATTGCAATGCCAGAAAACACGAGACAGACTCAATGTTGCGTACCAAATAATAATAATAATACACATGTTTCTCTTGATGAGAGAAACTATGTCTATAGTGGCATAGATCAATTTGTACAGAAAAATCCATGCTCTTGCATGGGTGACGTGCATAAGTGGAGTATTGGGATATGCGTTTCATGTATTAACATGCTGGCGGATGGTTGAGGCCAAAGCCTAGTTATGAAAACGTTGGTGTTTACATGTTTTGGGCCCCTCTTGGAATAGCTCATCGAGGGATTTTTCCCATGTGAATATAGGGCTTAGGGTAGGTAGATCAAGGTGGTTGGCGAGCCTGCTACTAAATGTCGCCACATTGTCACGTGACCTGTGTGTTATTGGTAGTTTATTCCACAGATAGCTGTGTCAGACCAGGAAGAAATTAAAGCGGACGTTTGTTCTAACTTTCGGTATATTCAGTGTAAAATCTTTGTTGCGAGGCGCTCCAGTTGACCAATGTTGTAAATTGAGTGCATGCAGGTTGGAATAGGTCTTTTTGTGTAACATGTTGAAAAACAGCAACAGTTGTGCTTCAATTGTCGAATCCAAAGTGGTTAGAGATGAAGTTCATTGCAACGTTCTCGATAACTCATAGCAGTGTTTACCAATCAGATGTTTAGTAAATGACATGGTCGGATTGTTCGAATAGGCATGTCCCGGTGCGAAATAAGCTAATTTTCCCTGGCTCAGCGTAACCGTTGTCACCTCTAGTACACCGCATCGAATCCGGGCATAATCCGATACAATCCAGCGCGAGCTCGAATAGGGAGCCTGGATTCATAGATGAACGACAGTTTCGGTTTCATGTCATGAGATGAGCCGCAATGACAAAAAGGCAGTTCCAGAGGATAAAAGGTGCGATTTTTTGGCAGACAGTTGCGGAGCAAGGCAAGAGAAGCACGGAGTAACAGGACAGAATATGTCGAGCGCACAGAAGTATTAGGTAACTGGTGAACTTATGTTGTTCGACTGTCAGATTGTAACGTGGGATTTGTGGCTTCATAAACGCCGGGATCCTCTTAAGAGAACGAAGTAATGTACACGTAATCGACAAGCCAATAGTAATATGGTGAGCAGAGCGCCGCGACGAAAATGACGTGATCGCATATTTTACCGTTCTTAAGGACGTCCGAAAACGTTAACAGGCGGAAGCTATTTGGTCCCCACCTCTCCACGAATGAATCGGCCGTAGCCCCCTCCCCCGGAGGCAGCTTAGACGTTTGATATTGTGGTTTTGAGCATAAGGGGTGCGTTTTTCACAGCGCGGTTAATCGCTCAGTTGACATGCGATGCGTGTCGAATCCATGGAAACCTGTGCAGATAAGTGGTCGATAGATTATGGTTGACTCGAAAATTCATCAACGAATATCACTGCCGGTGTGAAATGACAGAAAACGGACAGCCTCTAAACATCTTTTGCGTGAACGAGGCGACTCTCGTGGCACGGAGCAGCGTTATAATCCTGGTCCGCTGGTGCCGGAGGTTGGAGAAGCCCACCAGAGCTTCCGGAATGCAGAGGTCGACATACTCAAAGATAAATGAACCTACCGGTCACACCTAACGGATAGTCCGAGATGACGCCGGGAATGACCTAGGGTCATTCCGCTCGGTAGACCCTACATTTCATAGGGCGAACGTCATTCCGGGCGATGATATCAATACCATCCGACACGATAAATCTTCGGTGGTCCTCGAGGATTTACAAATCACAGTGATGTTTTCACGGTACCGCAGGTCGCGAAATCAGCTAGCCCAGAAGCTAGTAAACCCACAGCTGTTTGGGATGACAACCACAGCGGAGTTACACAGCAACATCTCTGTCCTTCGTGACACTAGAAGAGGCTGAACGTTTGTTCTATACTGACATACGGCCCGGAGTATGAGAACAAATGGTTTGGATACTATATATCAATATATCTCCCCGATAGCTTCCTCCACAACCTATGACCACAAAAAGCATCCCTGTCAAATGAATCGGGCGCGGTCCAATTTTATACTAAAAGTTATGATTGTCCGAGTAAATATCTGCCACTGTTCGAGGATTTCTGGCGGATTGTAAAGGGTTTACGGGTGTTCATTAACTCTGGGAAGAGTGTCAACCGAACAACACTATAAGAAGTCAGAGGGCGTGATGCGGAAAAGAGTTTAAAGTGGGTGTTAGCACACACTTTAAACAGTTAGTGGCGAACTGAACATACCGTGTTGGGCTCGCATGTTGCTCATCAGCGCCCCCAATGAAATGGGCGACGGAAGGCCAAGAAGTGAAGGTTGTAAGTTGTCCGGCTCATGTGCTTTAGATGATCCCCCAGCTGATCGTCGACCTGGTGGACCTGAAATACACAAGTTTGGAAGTTTGCGATCACAGATTAGGAAATAAAGTGATGAGCTCAGATTACTCAGGTGAACAGACTTACCTGGTTACTGGTTTCGACTTGACCAACAGAAGAATTGTGTTCGAGAAAGAGTGAAACCTCGTAGGGCAATCTGTTGTTCTAATGAGATAATGGTTTGAGCCAATAACGTTACAGCTGAAACATCAAATCGCTCCGGGAACATTCAAGTCCATCACGTGACGTGTGCACCTACCGCTTCACAGATTAAAGCGCGGAACTTAACTGACAGTTCAGCCAGCTGATCTGACTGTTCCATAACTTTAACACTCCTTGATCTTTACATGTGCGTTATTTTTCAAGTTCCTCATATTTGTCCCAGTAGCTGTTCGTGTGAGTCCGTTGATATATTTAAACCGTGATTGGCGCTTTTAAAGAGAACGAGATCAGTTCAAACAGATTCACACAGGAAGGAGTACATTTAACACACTGATTGAAGGAACATGATTGGAAAATTTTACTGCAAAGGGGTATGCAGACCACATTGATGAGAGCCCACGACAGTATGTTATCGGCCCAGGCAGCAACGTAGCCGCATCCATCCCGGCTTACAAGGGCATATGAACTGCACAGTGAGTTACCAATGCCAGTAATTTGTAATTGTGACAAGTCGCCGAATTCATTTCAGCTTGCGACTGATTAACGAAGACTAACGGCCTACTTGGGTCACGTTTTACTTCCTTAAAGTGAAGGACTTCGGGACAGTAGGAGCGAAATAATTCGTCGGTGGGGGGAGTATGGCCTTTCCGGCTAATCAGGAGAATGCTTAATAACGATAGAACATCTCCATCTGCTGCACCCCCTCCTTCTCGCTTTGCTGCCAATGCGGCAGCCAATCTGACATTCACTGATGCGACTCTCAGAAGGATCAGTGAACAACCGCAACATCACTGCATGCAATACTTCGAAGAGGATGGTAGTAGTAGTGGGGCATTAAACACACCAGGGGTTACTGCAAGAAATTTCAGTGTTGCTTTGGTAGCGGCCACCAACAACTACACCTCGTGATCGGGATAAGCAAGATTTGTTTCAAACTCTACAAAAGTCGACAGCGTTTTGAGGCGGTGGTCGTTCATCGCAATGAGGCAGGACCTTACCATAGTGCAATGGTTTGCGCGCTACAGTGATCTAATGAGCTATGCTGGGTGGTGCTTTTTTGCACCTTCAGAGCCACGCATACCAGAATGAGTCAATGGTTAGAGGCCAGACAAACTCAGCCTCCTGGTCCTCTATGATGGGAGTTGGATTGAGAATGGCTCCTTATTCCTTAAAACGGACTCCTTGTAGTCCGCTGCCTTACTGTCAGGTTTTTAAACCAAAGGCTTTGGCTGAGTACTCTAATCGTCCTTCTGTATAGGCCTGATAGTATCCTGCTCACGCCATGCAACTAACTTTTTCAAACCATTTCTTGATGCTCTGGTCGTCGTAGAGGATAATCAACGGCGCCCTATCTAACGCATCGAGCAAGGTGGATGCTAATCCTCAAGCCTTGCCATCTTATCTTACAATTTTTCATCCTTATCGTCCAGTTCCAATTTCACTCTTATGGTACCCCCGTTTGAAACTACAATTCTTACTTTGATAAGCGTTTATCTTCTAATTTGGACTCACATGCAAACGCGGAGCCTAACATTTGCTCTGTCTACAAGCCCATGGTCTAACAAAGCGGTCAAGCCCAGTCCAGCGGCTTCCATTTGGAGCCCTCGATCCTCTCTCAGACTGACATGCCTCAATGTACGCACATTACTACAGATCGGTCAACAGGCAGCACTTGCCCGAACACTAGAGACCCTCACGATAGATATCTACTGCCTATCGGAAATCGCCCTGAATGATCAAGTCCACCGATGAGGATGTGTGGGGTCGCGAAATGTTAAAGGTGAGCGGTTGCTACATTTATGTAGAGATGCCCGATTATTTCTTGCGGGCACTAATTTTCAACACAGCACCCGTCGAAGGTGACATGGCGACCGCCAACCTCGAACCAGCCATGAACGCAAATCGGTCACATTGCGATCAGTTACCGCTGGAAAAACTGCGTCCAAAACTATGGCTCGATTTGGAGCACATGCGTGGACATCGACCATGCACTTGTATGTGCTGATCTGCGGATGCGTTTTAGCGGACGCGCACGATACTGTGAGCGCATTGACACCAGTCAACGGGCGAAGCCTGATGTTCTGAATGCGTATGGAATAAGTTGACGTGCGGGTTGAGTAAGCGCCCACTAAATACAATTGAAGCTCACTGTAAAGTCCAAAAGGAACTTTGATGTATCCCCAAACTGGATTGCTTACATGAGGACACGGTATCTCTTTTCCCTGATTATCTTGCACATTTGCACTGCTTTACTGTGTTTTACAAGCGGTTAACATATCGTATATTTATTTCTTACACTCGATCACTGACACATCCTTGAGGTTTCAAGGTCATTCTTATTATTATGTTACTGTGACACTGCCCAAATACTCGATCCGCCCCACGCTGTACAGTTTCTGCCCACTTGCATTACGATTGCCAAACTTATTCGTAAGTCATGTACTGTATTTATTATGCCTTATAGAACCACGGTTACAGGATACTTCCTTTTATTCTTCTGCCCAGACCGTGCGTTAAGTCTAGGTTTATCTGTTCGTAGTTTCTAGGTTAGTTTTCGTACGACGTACTTAGTTTAGGTTTCGTATCGTTGGTACACTCACTACTCGCATGTTCACCAGACCTTAATAGCAGTAGGTAAATCATCACGTGCTAAATTCAAGAGCCAACATGGACATTGCGTCTCTTCGCAGTCTCTGGAACTTATAGATGCTCGATGGTACATTCCGGCTGGAAGCGAACACTAAGAGACTAGCAAAAACTTGCAGCCAATACTCCGTGCTAGCCTGAAGAAAGACCGCGGATCCCTGTGACCTCATCGTGCGTCATAAATGGAAGCGGCAGCTGCCCTTGGTGACCAAGAGAAATTATTACGTCTGATACGGGAAACGGGCAGCAAGAGACCTGGTGTTAGTGAAAATATATGTGATGAGAGTGGACAGCCTATGCACAACTTGTCAAAACGCTTGAAGCGTTGGGCTGAGCATTTTAAAAAGCAATTTAATTGGCCGAAATTGTCAATTTCTCGCCGCCTACTGATCGCCCTGTTCTAGGGCTTTCCCGTTGGATCCGCCCTCTTGTTTAGTAGTCGAACGTGAGATCAGACTGCTGAAGTTGGATAAAGCCGCAGGACCAGACGATCTTCCTCTAGCCCTCTCCAAATTCGGGGGATCTGCTCTTGTTGATGATTTACGCGAATTACTAGTGAAACTGTAGGAGCAGGAAACTGTCCCAACCGACTGGAGCTTCTTCGTCGTAGTCCCAATTTTCAAGGGAGGCTCACGATCAGAATGCGATAACCATCGCTTCTAAATTGCTTGCTTCTGTCATCCTTCACAGACTGACTGGTAGTCGTGAAGGCCAGATTTGTGAGGACCAGGCCGGGTTTCGTCGAGGTCGGGGCTGAATCGATCACATATTTACCTTGCGTCATTTGTTGGAGCATCGCCACATATATCGGCGGCCCACCGTAGTTGTGTACCTCAACATCAATGGCGCCTTCGATTCGGTTGATCGAGGTGCCCTTGAAGACTGTCTGCTAAGGAAAGGTGTGGCAGAAATATATGTAAATATTATCCGAATGCTCTACGCGCGTAGCTCAAGTACAGTGAGAGCTTACGGCAAGCTGTTGCCACCCTTTAATATCTCCAGCGGTGTAAGACAACGATGTCCGCTGTCACCTCTTCTCTTCAGCTTTGCTACTCATGGAGATCGCGTTCACAGGATACGACTTAGAAAGTGTGGATCTGCTCCCAGGTGAACGACTTCTTGACTTGGAATGTGCTGACGACATTGCCCTTATCTGTGACAGCCCACAAACGTGCCAAGCTCCGCTGGGCAGATTAGCACTGCTGTCAGCCACTTCGGGCCTTGCTTTGCATACACGAAATGTGAAGCTTTCTTCCATGATTGGCAGAGACCGCCTCCTGCGCTGACCCATAGTGGGGATCAGCTAGAAGTGGTTCTGATACTCAACTACCTGAGCAGTTGTATCAGCGCCCTTGGGATCGAAGATGAGATCACGAACCGTATAGCAAAAGCTCGGGGCGCTTTTGCTAATCCTGGCCAACTATGACGCCGGCGCGACATCACACACACACTCTCTCTGAAGGGTAGAGTGTAAAATGCAGTCGTACGGTCGACACTACTCTACAGTTGTGAAAACTGACCCATTAAACCGGTGCCTTCGCAGTTTGACTCATATCTTGTGGGAACACCGTGTGAGCAATGAGCATGTTCGAAGCCTTGTTTATGGTGCAGGAAGAAGAAGCGAACCGCTGGGCACTGTTATTTCATGCACCAGGCTCCGATGGCTGGCACACGTGTTGCGCATGCCGGCTCCCGCGACATGCGTTGTTTGCACGTCACGAGTGTGGATGGAAGAAGAGGAGGGGTGGCCAAGCGATGACTTAGTCATGAGGAACGAAGGCCTTTCGTTCGAAGATGGCCTCGGTTGGAGCACCTCGGCTCCCTGGTTGGGGTCCCAAAAACGATACACTGGTTGATATGGCTAAAAGCCGACCTCAGTGACATTCGTGCTGTGAGTTTCTTTGTCCCTCGCCCTCCAGGTTAGTCTCTCCCTCCAATCATGATCTCAACTCATATGCATAATATAATACTTCTTTTTTGCGGCACAATAGCCGGAACGGTATCCATCCGTCACAATGTTTCAAGCACACAAAGCATATGAAAGTAGGCCTGACAGCACTCGATACCATTGCGTTTTGTGGTACAGCTGCCGTGTTCAAAAGTGTGCTTCAGTAAGCATCAGTGGTTACAGCCAACTGCCATGATACATTGTAAGATTGGTTGCCAATAAGGTCAATTTGGTGGAAACGTTTCAATTAGGCGATCATCCACAAGCCCCTTCAATACATCAGTGAGTTGTACATGTGCTTTGGTACGGTAGTGCATGGACTGTCGTTGCGCGACATATTCTTTGGGATGGGTTTACAATTTAGTACTGACGCTCAGGTTTACAATGAGCGTTGTACGTCGTGGGAAAGTGGCTGTTGCAAGAATGGGGACATACCTCTGGAGAAATTGAGGGCCGTTGGAAGGATGCCACCGGGAAGGAGGTCGGGAACGAGCGCTTGTGATTTACTGACAGGGGTAGCGAAAGCCAGATTGCCGGTGTTGACCACCCCCCGTGGTGGGGGAGATTTAGGGCGCATCCTTTCGATCTCTTCGGTTGTACCAAGTAGCCAACCATTAGGCTCCTTGGAGAAATTGCTAGCATAAAGCCGGCTATCAAAGTTGGAGGCGGACAGTTCGTTTCCTACCGTCAACCAGCCCTGTGGGGAAAAGACCCGAAAGGAAGAATACGACGGGTAGAACAAGCAGACAGACGTAAAAATGCGAGGCAGGCGCCATGCGGTTGGAATAGAAACCATCTGCGACGGCAGATGATTATAAAAACCAGTGGACCAAATGATTGGCCCCATTATGTGTGGTTTTCCGTTAAGGTTGAGGTTAAACACAAACATGGATATCAATGCCGGCAATGAAGAAAACCACAGCACACAACGGATTTGACATACAGGTGGAATGTTGACGTCGAACGGTTACTTTATGGTGTGAGTTGAAATCAATGCGACCGGACTCAGACGAACGACCATCACACGTACGGAAAAGCACTGGACAGCCGTTTTATTCTTTCGGAAATTGTCAGCAGCGCGCATTTCATTCGCTCCCTGCGAGGCTAGAACTCGCGACCCTACTCTTACGAGTCTTTGGCTAAAACCACGGGGTGAGGTAATGACTGACGCTTTCGTATGCACAGTTGACAAGACCAGTGGCTGTGCAACTGACTAGGGGGCTTCTGAAACGTGAAACAGTCGTAGCCATCAACACTGATCGCAAATTGCCTTTATCAAGATAAGAGAGCAGCCCGTGAGTACAGCTGGACAACACATGTGTCTATGAGAGTGCAAACTCATGGTATTGGAATACAGGCAGGCATTTTGCACAAATCCACATAGGCGACAACAACTAGTAGGACGATCGGGACATCAAAATATGCGACCAACGGTGATACGAAATATCTTTCGTGGCCGAAAGATCGCGGGTTCGGGCTTGCGTAGGGGACCGGATGAGTGTCACAACATCCTTAGCCATCGCGCGACCGGTGATGGTTACATGGCAGTGAAGCGTCGGTACGGCGTACTGCTGATGCTTTTCCCTTCTTCCTTTGTTGGTTGCGCAGCCATGCAGACCACGTAGGTTTGAAACGAGGTGCCATCCACAGCCAGCATTCTGTATGATAGCCCCAAAGTGCCAGAGTGAATGCGCAATGCTGATTCTCGAGAGGATGAAACGGCCGTACAGTGCTTTCCGGGCATTATGGCTGTCTGACTGAGTCTAGATGTAGTGAGCTTCTACCTATACTATTCAAATCCTCCTACTATTCCCTCGTCAACTACAACAAGGGCACTGTAGCGCAATGTAGCTAGCCTCTGTATCAAGCTGCAATGACGAAAGGCCGAAGAAGTGACGGTAAAATGTTATCTGGAAAGTTTCCCTGGACATTCGATGACTGTATGGTTGAGACCTGCTGCGATAAAACTTCTCAAAAACACATTAAACTCCCCTACTACTCACTAAGACCAGAGGTGCACAACTAATGTGAAGCTTCACTTAACCAGAAATAATGTCAGCAGAAACGACTCGGCAGAATATGTGATCGACGGGAATGGGAAATTGGCCCATTCGATTCGAAAGGGGGTCCGGAGTGAGGCACTAGGTTCCAGGGGTCAACACGGATGTCAGCTGCGTTCTGTAAGCGTTGGTAATTATAGATTGCGAATGCAACTATAACGTAGTACTGCTAAGCATGTAACACGCTTCCGAGGCACGTAATCGTAGCAAGCAGAACACGTCTGAACAGCAACAGGTCTAACAATTAATCAATAGAGGAAGGTACAAGATTCATGGAAACGCGTTGCGAGACCGAGGACGTGTGTGAGGTGATTGGCTGGCTAGTGTGAGTGATAATCAATCCGCGCACAGCTGACGCACATAACAGCAACTAAAATGGAGGGCTGTTAGCGACCTTCTAGAGGTTGCGGATACCGAACTTGAATCATTTAACTACTGCACAGAAAAATAGTAGTCGGGTGCAAATTTCTGGAGTACTCGAATCCATACCTAAAAATAATCATCAATAGCTGGTACTCCTCTCGATAGCCTGATCTAATAGTGATGACGGGCGCGAGCTCTGGTACAGGAACCCAAGTATACCACACGATGTGTGGAGAGCAAATTGGCGCACATTTTATGTAGTGCAATGCACTCGAAGCAGTGGCAAACAAACTATTAACTCTGGCAAGTGGCGCAAAAATGAGAAATTATCTCGAGTCAGGTCAATTCGATTAGATCGCTGTCATCTGAATGAAAGGTTCGGTGGATCTAGCTGCAACAAACTACATCACCATAACAGTGATAATGAAAAACGGCAACTGTGAATAAGGCAGAGAGAAATGCACAAAGATAAAAAGGCAGGAGGTAGAAAAGTTAAAATTATAGTATTTAACAGCTAAAATCAATAGACCGAATACGAAAGCGACATTGGCGTTGTGATATCGCAGTGACGGAAATGTATCCTAGTCGCTGACGTGGTCGATTCCGTGGATCTCATCCATGAAGGCAGTACGCGTTTGTCGTACCAAATGTTTCGGTCGATTTCTGCATAAACTATGCCGGGACATCGACTGAGTAGACTGAGGTTTGAGCTGACTAGATGCGACAAAGGCAAACAACGCACATCAGAACAAGTGTTCAAAGGGCACTGGAAAAGCGCTACCTCCTCAAAAGTAAACAGATCAAGTGAACTTGAGATGACACTGTTTGTTGCCGATGCAAATGGCAGTGGTCCAGCCAAGTATTGCTGATGCAGCGCAAGCACCGGTGGTCAAACACGACCGTAAGAAGTGACTGTCTGTGATATGAAGAATAACATTGATCTCACCCTATCATTTATTGACAACTAGTACCACATCATCCCAGCTGAGGACTGAGCCAATACAAAGCCACACAATAGACGCTTGGCATCCGAACTCGGGTGTGTGCAATCCTCACTAGCTGTTCTTCAGTTTAAGTGAGAAGCAGTCCTGGGGTAATAATTTGCAATTTGTGCTTGATAGGCTGCGGATCAGCCTACTTATCAGTGGCTGGATATCAGATAAATGACGCTACAGAATAGCTGCATCGTCCGTATCCACAGAATTTATCAATCGGTTATTAGACAGTTTCTATTTCAGATAGTAAGGACAGACGTTCATAATCTCCCCTATCATAAAGAGAGAAGTGCAGATTAGGCAGTTCTGATTAACCGCGTTTGATGTAGTTAACTTGGGACACAGCTTCCAGTAGACTCGCATGGCCCCAGGAGTGTTGATATGGGGGAAGAATCAATATCAGTATGCCTTTTAAAGAAAGCCGAACAACCTCATCGAGCTGGGTGTTTCGAGTTTAACCCGTTCCAGCAAATAGTTCGGCGGCAATGTTCCAGGACGTGGGGGTTTTCGCCTGGCAAGCGCCCTCTCTATAAAAAGCCACGAATGTCTGCTTATCAACACTGCGATGTGGCGGTTATGACTGGCCACAAACTAGAGGCACTACCACGTGAATATCCGGATAATCCTATCCAACTCACGGACATTAATCATCTGTTCTCACATTGCCGACTCTATCAAACAGCCAAGGATGCAGGGTCACAGTTACAAGCACAAACTACACACACAATTACATAGACATACACACCCCTACACAAAAATTCACTGTTACGGCAAGCACGTTGTATTTTTGTACATTTTTGATCACACGTTGTTAGTTTACTATGATTATGCCTGTAAAGGCGTGTCTCGCTTTGTCGAAAATAAAATTTTATTTATTTATTTACAAATAGGTCTAAGCAAATGAATTACAAGTAGGTTGCCTATACACGCGACACCGTTTCAACTCGTGGTGAAGTGTATGGATAGATCGATGCACCTCATCTTCCGACACACAAGTCAGCATAGCTTTCCCTAGGGTCAGTGAGACGCTGTGGTGCAACTCAAAGGAGAACAATGGAGACGACGGCTATAAGGCTGATATCCCGCCCCATTTTTGCTGAGGACAACGACGACCACGAGTAGAAAGTAAAACACATCATCAATAGACCGGCACGCCATAGCAACGTTTCGCTAGCTCGCGGTCGCGGACTAGAGATATTGTGAGATCGCCCGCAGGCTCGACTCCCGTTTATGTACGGATTTGTCCAAAAATAGGAGGTAGGTAGGACAAACAGCAAGTCTGAGAATGGATCAACTGTCCGGTTTGCTCGAGCACTGTCCCGCTAGTTGAAGTTCCTTTTGTACCTGTGATTCTGCTGAGTGGGAACAACACCCGGTTGTTTCCGACGACATTAGAATTCCCTGTTGTCATGAGTAGGTGGAAAGCTTTAATAAAGAAACACTAAACAGGAACAAAAGAAATACCTGTCAAAGTGCTTCATTCTGCAGAAAACTATATTACATATGCGCATCGTGGACACCGTGAATTATGAGGGTTGGAGGTGCACATGGATGTACTGAGTCACAGATTCGTTAGGTGACCCATCGGATTCGAAAATGTTCTCGGCAGATACCTCTAGTCCAAAAGTAACTAGGCGACTTCCGGTCTTTATTGCTCCATGCTAATACGCGAATCCATAAAGCAGACCACCGTGTCGACTTGTAGAACACTGAAACGTAGGAATCGGTCGACAGCTTAATACAGTTTGACCAGAGAAAGAGTAGAGTTGCGATGAACAAAATTACTTTCCAAGCGCTCCATTCAAACGATGAATGGGGTCCCATGGGCACAGTCGATGCACTGCATGAAGCATTGCAGAAGACCGCATCCAATCGCATCGGCTGATCGACTTTCGTGGGATTAAAGCAGGCGAATGTCTTAGAAGGCGCATACCTTGACACGAGCATCAACACAACAAGAATTGTGTGCGCAAACGCATTTTTAAAATATATCGGCCGAATATGATGTGCGCAAACCACCAGTGGGTACGAACTCTCAATGAACAGAAGAATGTTGACGTGGTGTACATCGATTTTAGTAAGGCGTTTGACAGAGGGAACCACGAGGTACTCCTTCGTAAACTTAGGACATACGGAATCGGTGGCACGCTACTTCAGTGGTTACACGAGTTTATTGTGGGACGAAAATTTAGAGTACAGGTCAATGACTACCAGACAGACTGGTTCGCATCGACCAGTGGCGTGCCTCAAGGAACTGTACTTGGGCCAGTATTACTCCT